TTTCCCTCCCTCTACGCGCTCTCTCTCCCTCCCTCTACGCGCTCTCTCTCTCCCTCCCCTCTACGCGCTCTCTCCCTCCCTCTACGCGCTCTCTCGCTCCCTCCCTCTACGCGTCTCTCCCTCCCTCTACGCGCTCTCTCGCTCCCTCCCTCTACGCGCTCTCTCGCTCCCTCCCTCTACGCGCTCTCGCTCCCTCCCTCTACGCGCTCTCTCGCTCCCTCCCTCTACGCGCTCTCTCGCTCCCTCCCTCTACGCGCTCTCTCCCTCCCTCCCTCTACGCGCTCTCTCTCCCTCCCTCTACGCGCTCTCTCCCTCCCTCCCTCCACGCGCTTCTCTCGCTCCCTCCCTCTACGCGCTCTCTCTCCCTCCCTCTACGCGCTCTCTCCCTCCCTCTACGCGCTCTCTCCCTCCCTCTACGCGCTCTCTCTCCCTCCCTCCACGCGCTCTCTCGCTCCCTCCCTCTACGCGCTCTCTCTCCCTCCCTCTACGCGCTCTCTCCCTCCCTCTACGCGCTCTCTCTCTCCCTCCCTCCCTCTACGCGCTCTCTCTCTCCCTCCCTCCCTCTACGCGCTCTCTCTCTCCCTCCCTCTACGCGCTCTCTCTCCCTCCCTCTACGCGCTCTCTCTCCCTCCCTCTACGCGCTCTCTCTCCCTCTACCGCGCTCTCCCTCCCTCCCTCTACGCGCTCTCTCCCTCCCTCTACGCGCTCTCTCCCTCCCTCCCTCTACGCGCTCTCTCCCTCCCTCCCTCTACGCGCTCTCTCCCTCCCTCCCTCCACGCGCTCTCGCTCCCTCCCTCTACGCGCTCTCTCTCCCTCCCTCTACGCGCTCTCTCTCCCTCCCTCTACGCGCTCTCTCCCTCCCTCTACGCGCTCTCTCTCTCCCTCCCTCCCTCTACGCGCTCTCTCTCTCCCTCCCTCTACGCGCTCTCTCCCTCCCTCTACGCGCTCTCTCTCTCCCTCCCTCTACGCGCTCTCTCTCTCCCTCCCTCTACGCGCTCTCTCTCCCTCTACGCGCTCTCCCTCCCTCCCTCTACGCGCTCTCTCCCTCCCTCTACGCGCTCTCTCTCTCCCTCCCTCTACGCGCTCTCTCTCTCCCTCCCTCTACGCGCTCTCTCGCTCCCTCCCTCTACGCGCTCTCTCGCTCCCTCCCTCTACGCGCTCTCTCTCCCTCCCTCTACGCGCTCTCTCTCCCTCCCTCTACGCGCTCTCTCTCCCTCCCCTCTACGCGCTCTCTCTCTCCCTCCCTCTACGCGCTCTCTCCCTCCCTCTACGCGCTCTCTCCCTCCCTCTACGCGCTCTCCCTCCCTCTACGCGCTCTCTCCCTCCCTCTACGCGCTCTCTCTCTCCCTCCCCTCTACGCGCTCTCTCTCTCCCTCCCCTCTACGCGCTCTCGCTCCCTCCCTCTACGCGCTCTCTCGCTCCCTCCCTCTACGCGCTCTCTCGCTCCCTCCCTCTACGCGCTCTCTCGCTCCCTCCCTCTACGCGCTCTCTCGCTCCCTCCCTCTACGCGCTCTCTCCCCCTCCCTCTTCGCGCTCTCTCCCTCCCTCCCTCTACGCGCTCTCTCCCTCCCTCCCTCCACGCGCTCTCTCGCTCCCTCCCTCTACGCGCTCTCTCTCCCTCCCTCCCTCCCTCCACACGCTCTCTCTCCCTCCCTCCCTCCACGCGCTCTCTCGCTCCCTCCCTCTACGCGCTCTCTCTCCCTCCCTCCCTCCACGCGCTCTCTCTCCCCCTCCCTCTACGCGCTCTCCCTCCCTCTACGCGCTCTCCCTCCCTCTACGCGCTCTCTCTCCCTCCCTCCCTCCACGCGCTCTCTCTCCCTCCCTCTCTGCTCTTTCTCCCTCCCTGGTCTCTCTGTGGCCATGTCTCCCATTAACAGCAACAGTAAGTGGGACGAGTGGACTTTTCTGTATCGTTGGGTAAAGGTCAGTAAAAGGAAGGAGACATTTGGTGAGCACAAACCAAATCCAGTCTCACCCAACAATCTCTCTCTCTCTCTCCCTCGCTGGTCTCTCCCTCTCTCCAGTCTCTCACTCCCACAATCCTGCCACTTCCAGTCTCTTCCTCTCTCTCTCCCCTCAATCCTGCCACCTCCAGTCTCTCCCTCTCTGGTCTCTCTCCCCTCGATCCTGCCACTTCCAGTCTCTTCCTCTCTCTCCCCTCAATCCTGCAATTTCCAGTCTCTCTTGTGTGCTTTAATCCCTCTACTCCCCGGCTAATCTCACACACTCACACGTGCCTCTACACCAGCTAAATATCATGACATTTATCACCACTTTGAAATGGGCGAGTGCTTATTCATACGTCAATCAACATGCTAGTCCTGGCCCCCGCCCCTCCGCACCAGCCGGGGGCGATAAGGGTGCCTGCCTTGTAATTACACGTTGAGTTTAGGTGCGTTGCGATGGCTCTGATCTCAGTGGGGATCTCCAAGTTGCCAGTCTTCAAAATAAGAAAAAAAGAAAAAATGAAACCTAGCTAGCCGTGTCGGATGGCTGTCTAATTGAAGATGGGATCTGTGTAATTCCCGTTAGCGCTAATATGAATGCCTGGAGAGAGAGGGGGCTTTGATCGCGGAGCTGGCGAACACCTCTTCATTCAAAGGGTGAGGGAGGAGGTAATAGGCTGCGTTACAGAAATATGAGCGGAACAAAACAGGATTAACTCCAGAGATGGTTCCGGAGCGACGACGTATGAGCACGCACAGCAGGGAGGGGGGGGGGTTTAGACGAGATGTGACTGAGGTGCAATGATACAAATGTTATTCTAATAGAAGTATGTTAGGGAGAGAGAAGCCAGCACAGAGGGGGAAGGTGTGTGTGTGTGTGTGTGTGTGTGTGTGTGTGTGTGTGTGTGTGTGTGTGTGTGTGTGTGTGTGTGTGTGTGTGTGTGTGTGTGTGTGTGTATCCATCTGTGTGTGTATGTGTATTTGTAGCCATGCGTGTGTACTTGTGTGTGCGTGTGTACTTTGTGTGCGTACCTGTGTGTGTGTGTTCCTGTGTGTGTATACCTGTGTGTGCGTGTGTTCTTGTGTGTGCATGTGCTCTTGTGCGTGCGTACCTCTGTGTTTGTGTGTACGTACCTGTGTGTGCGTGCCCATATGATATCGTATTGCATTGCGTTTCTGAAATGATTAAGTCAGTAATCTTTGTTTAATAATATTATTTCTGTGAAACATTAGGGGTGTCCAAACCTTTTAGTCCACATTAGTCCACTTTAGTCCACATTAGTCCACTTTAGTCCACTGGACCGGTCCAGGGGTCGACTTGGATCGTAAAAAACTGTTTAGACTCGACCTTTGTCTCTGTTCTGGGCTTTAAAATGATTCTGACATGTGTTATGGATTCACACCATAGCTACGTTAGCGCTACATGTTAAATACATGTGAAAAATACTGCGATAATGAACAGAACATATTTTTTTCCCACCACTGAGAGGCAAACCGTGAATAGTAAAAGTAAATAAATGAGACTAGAATAGTTTTTGTTGGGCGATCAGCTTTTTGCTCATCCTCCAGTCGCCTCATCTCCACTTGTTATGGCTCACGCGGCGCCAGCGGAAACAAGCATTACACATTAATACAAGCGGCGGCGGCGGTGACTGACGGCTCCGAAGCACACTCTAAAGCACACCTATATTTGGAAGCTGACATTTTGCATAATTACCTTCGCACTGAACCTCGGTGGGAGGAAAAAACAACTCAAAACAAGACGTGCCCTGACAAAGGCTGCATGCTGAATACGAGCTCTTCCCTGGCGCCAACTCCCGCTGATAAATGTCAAAAAGTCCAGTTTCGGCCTTAGCACAAACACGACTTACTTCGAGAGATGTTCCTTTGATTACAGACGGAGGAAATAACTATTTTAACTCTTCTGCGAATCTCGTAAGTGATTAAAAGTAATTAATTAATAATTAGTTTTCAAGATGAATTTTGATGTTATTGATGTTCCGTCTCTCTCCTTCTACAGTCTCTCTCCCGTCTCTTTCTCTCTCGCCCACGTCTCCCTCCTACCGTCTCTCTCTCTCCTGTCTCCCTCCTTCTAACGTGTCTCTCTCTCCCCCGTCTCCCTCCTTTTACAATCTCTCTCTCTCGTCTCCCTCCTTCTACCGTCTCTCTCCCTGCCTCTCTCGTCTCTCTCTCTCCGTCTCCCTCCTTCTACAGTCTCTCTTTCTCTCTCTCTCTCATCTCTGTCTCTCTCTCTCGTCTCTCTCCTTCTACCGTCTCTCTCCCTCCCTCTCCCGTCTCTCTCTCCGTCTCCCTCCTTCTACAGTCTCTCTTTCTCTCTCTCTCTCATCTCTGTCTCTCGTCTCCCTCCTTCTACCGTCTCTCGCTCTCCCTCCCATCTCTCTCCCTCTACCATCTCTCTCCCTCCCCCAGCCTCTCCCTGAGACCCTTTTAGACTCTAATTTAGGGTATTTTTCTTCTACTTATAGTTGTCTGTGGCGGAGGGCAGCAGCAGGATTAAAGGGGACATCACCTTAACTAAGACTTTCTTCTTTTGTCCATGTTACAGTTGCTTCCCTGTTCCATACAAAAAATACACAACTATACTATACTATCTCTCCATGGCCTCGCACCAAAGTACATCTGTGACATGTTAGTGTCGTATGAACCAGAAATGAGAGAAACTAAAAGTAATATTTATGAATGAAAAAGTCAGACACCACAGCTTTAAAAAAACAGAGCATAACAATAAAAAAAACAGTAGAAATTTACCTCTTGAGAGACTTCCCTCTACGCTTCAAATATGATTCAATTAAATATATTTTTGTATTGCCCTAAATAACGACAGCACTCGCTTGGAAAGGCTTTACAATGTTGTCGATTCACCAACAACAGATCAGAGAAACAGTCCAGGATCATCACGGTCCATAGACCCTCCTGCATCGGCAAGAAACCACCCAAAACCCAGTGGGAGAAAAACATGACATTCTTACCGTCATAATAATTGCCTTGTGTGACTGTCTCCATCTTTGTGCCATACAAATAAACTGGCCTTACCTATTAAAATGCTCCTTGTACTCCTTCGCCACCCGCTGGATCAAGTCCTTTAATCTGAAAGCAAATAAGAAGCGGTTGAAATGCCACATGAGACCAAAGCCTTGCCTTTTTTTTTGTTAGCCTGCAATTAGCGGCGAGAGCTGAACAATAACCGGCACTTTGCATCTCTGTGTGCGAGCAGTTATATGGGAACGGTTACGACGGAAAGGAGGATTACAGGGTGCTAAATCTGGAGTGGCTACGTACCTGCCGCTAGCCTCCGTGGGGTCCTTCTCGTCAATGATAGCGATGGCCACCAGTTTGCCTGAAGGGAAATGAGACAGATGGGAGAGTTAGACAAATATCTATGTGAGATAAAGTAATAATACAGGGCTAAAGGCTAAATGCTAATGCTAGTTATACAACTACTTATACAACATATGACACTAAAGGAGAAAAGACTGAATATACTTTCTCTCTGGCCTCTCCCTCTCTGGCCTCTCCCTCTCTGGCCTCTCCCTCTCTGGCCTCTCCCTCTCATTATATCTCCCCCTCCCTCTCTCTCCCTCTCTCCCCCTCCCCCCCTCTCTCCCTCTCGCTCCCTCTAACCTCTGAATTTTGAGCCATCATTTCCTCTCCTCCATGAACCAGAGAGAGTGTTGTTTAGCAGTAATTCTGGACCAGAGAGGCAGCCTGCCCCCCAGTGGTCACTCACGGTCACTGACGAGGTGATCAGAGGAAACAGCCAGGCCTTGGACTAACTGGAGATATACATTGTGATATAGAAGTGGGTTTTATTGCCAAGATCGGAGAAGAGAGAGGCAGATAATCCATGAAGGCCATTTGTTAGAATTAAAAGCCTTGGGTTTCTCTGCTCGATGTGTATTTATAGCAACACACACAGAAATACAATAGAGAAAGGTTACAGAAGAGGCCTGAAAACTCGGCTTTTTATCATTGTAGAATCCAGGGTTACATTCAATAAGTGTTAACATGACATCCTTCAGGTGTTAAAGCTTCATATTTATGTGAATGGACAATAAATGGAAAAGAAAAAGTAGATTAGAAAAGACATTGTGCTTTTGTGTGACCTGTTTATCTGCAAAAACACATTCGCTCGCACATTTTAAAGTGTTTTGTTAGCGGCTAAACTACAGGAGGAGAAGCGTTCCGTTACGTAATAAATCTGGATCTGGAACAGTAGAAGCAAGAAAGGGACTCGTAGAGCGCAGACCTATGCCGAGAAGTGCGGTACCAACAGTCAGAATGGGATCAGAAGTTTGCTGGGATATTGCATCAAAATCATGGCATAACTTTTAGATATGTTGGCAAAATGAGAGACACACAGAGACAGACCAGAGAGAGAGAGAGGTGAAAAAGAAAATTGCTGTGGACCATTCTATTCCTAATCCAGGCATCAATATTTTGGACACCAGACAGAAATCTAACATGAGATTAACATAATGAACAAGCTCCACATCTTAGTCACAAACAGCAGTATACATTTCTGTTGCCGTAGTAACGTCGCCTTTAATGCCTGCAGCATTAATGAGATTCCTTAACGGCAGGAGTAGGTTTCCTAAAGCGTAACGAGCCCAAAGCTCATTAGGAAATGTCCAACTCTCCTCGTTTAGGCCCAAACACTGGTGACCTGCAGGTGACAGCTCACTCTCTCTGGCCTCTCACTCTCTGGCCTCTCACTCTCTGGCCTCTCACTCTCTGGCCTCTCACTCTCTGGCCTCTCACTCTCTGGCCTCTCACTCTCTGGCCTCTCACTCTCTGGCCTCTCACTCTCTGGCCTCTCACTCTCTGGCCTCTCACTCTCTGGCCTCTCACTCTCTGGCCTCTCACTCTCTGGCCTCTCACTCTCTGGCCTCTCACTCTCTGGCCTCTCACTCTCTGGCCTCTCACTCTCTGGCCTCTCACTCTCTGGCCTCTCACTCTCCTCTCTGGCCTGGTTTTTACACCAACACAATCACAATGAAAAATCACAAAACGGCAGCTCTATTATTAGAAGTAGCCTTTTTCTCCGTGCTCGGCATCACCTTTCCGCCATTACAGCCACGGTTCACGTTTCGGAGCTAGCTTTAAAAATACCCTGCAGTGGAGGACTGTGGGTACGAGGGAACACGCCGCTGGAGGCTGGGATCAGAGCCTCGTTATTTGGCAGTAATTAATATAACAGTAATTTAAATGGCAGCTCTCCACCGGGCTTAAACGCCTGGTTTTAATTGCGGCCGGGCATGGGGTAGATTGAAAAGTTGGCAGTAGGGAGGTAAATGTTAAATGTTTAAAGAGAGGAATGGGATGATGAGATTATATGCAAAGTTATATGGCTCTGGAAACTAAATTGAATTGAATGGATATAATTATTATGGAGATAAAGGTGACCGCACAAAATGTACTGTATGTGTTTTTCTATATCAGGCCTACTCCACAGAGATCAGATGGTCTTTCCAGAGAGAGACCAGAGAGAGACAGAGAGACAGAGAGACAGAGAGACAGAGAGACAGAGAGACAGAGAGAGAGAGAGAGAGAGAGAGAGAGAGAGAGAGAGAGAGAGACCAGAGACCAGAGACAGGCTAGAGAGCGAGAGAGAGACAGACCAGAGAGAGAGAGGGAGAGACACAGAGAGAGAGAGAGAACAGAGACAGAGAGAGAGAGAGAGACCAGAGACAGGCCAGAGAGAGAGACACAGAGACACAGACAGACAGACAGAGAGACAGAGAGAGAGAGAGAGACACTTGTTCACATATTGCACTGAAAAATATAATATAAAAGGCAAGTGGCTGAAAAAACTTAATGTTAAGGCCTGTATAGAGATATGGGGAGAGAGATAGATACAGTATATTAAGATAAAGCAGAAAAAACGTCTATCCATTGAAACATGCATAAATACATGACTCTAAATGTTTCTAACAATAGTAATGAAGGTAGACACAGAGCACAGAGCCCACTCAATCTCTCCATCTAATAAATATATATATAAACATATGTACGTCCTGGGGATGAGACAGAGCGTGACGTCACCTGTCTCTCCGAGCTCGTACAGAGTGAAGCCATCGATCTGGAGGTACCCTTGGAAACGCTCCCTGTTCACCCACGAAGACAAACTGCCGTCCACGTACTCTGCATGAAAGAGAGAGGAGAGAGCACACGTCACACGTCGGAATCCATCTTAAGAGGTGGTTAAGAAGAGAGACTGTACTTTGTGTATTGTTCCAGGAAAATACTTTGTGTATGTGAAACTACAGTTAACAATTTTATATTTGTACATCCGGCTATGAGCACACAACATCTTGCAAAAACAGTCAAGTCTCCCGTCTCCGTCTCTCTCGTTGGTGTCTCTCTTATGTCCGTCTCTCGGTCTCTCACTCTCTCTGGTGCCTCTCTGGTGTCTCTCTCGTATCAGTCTCTCTCGCTGCCGTCTCTCGGTCTCTTCCTCTCGCTGATTCCTTTCTGGTGTCAGTCTCTCTCGCTGGTGTCTCTCTGTCTCTTCCTCTCGCTGATTCCTTTCTGGTGTCAGTCTCTCTCGCTGGTGTCTCTCTGTCTCTTCCTCTCGCTGATGCCTCTCTAGCGTCAGTCTCTCTCGCTGGTGTCTCTCTCTCGTCAGTCTCTTGGTCTCTTCCACTCGCTGGTGCCTCTCTAGCGTAAATTTCTCTCGCTGGTGTATCTCTGTCAGTCTCTCTCTCGCTGGTGCCTCTCTAGCGTCAGTATGATATTTTCTGTTATGTCTGTATGTATCTTGTTATAATTCAGTGTCATTAAATTTCCTCTTCTAAATCTATTTGTTTGGGCCTAGTCTGTCTCTCTCTCTTTAGTCTCTCTCCCTCTCATGTTTTGCATCTCACAACCTGCTCCAATGATTCAAAAACGCACAAAATGACAATGAAAGATCCATCCTGGATGTAGGTTAGAATGAGTTACTTTGTGGCGTGGGCTGAATGCACTAAAATAATAAATACAGTTAAAGTGAAGTGGGAGAGAGAGAGTTTTAGGAGAGCTTTATGATGAATGCGTCGCCTCCAGTGGGTTTAGAGCAGGTTCTCCTCCACTCTCTGTGAAAGCGGGAGAAGGCGTTTGGTGTTTGGTGGTGGGTGGTCACTATTGAATTTGAAAATGTTAAGCTGTACCATTTAAATTGTATAAGCCTGAAAATAATACAAAAGGAGGGCGGGCGCCATTGACCAAACAAAGCTGATTTTAACAGTTTTTGTGTTTGTGCATTTTCTGGACAAAAGAGAAAGGACTGCAAAAGGAAACTTACTTTTAAAGCTAACCTCACCAATTCTACACACATGTATCAGAAAAAAATGAGACCATAGTAAACAGAGACCAGAGAGAGAGACCAGAGAGAGAGACAAGAGGGACAGACCAATTAAGAGAGACCAGGAAAAGACTAGAGAGAAAACAGAGAGAGACTAGAGGGACAGACCAGAGAGAGTTCAGAGAGAGCAGAGAGACTAGAGAGAGAGACCAAAGAGAAACCAGAGAGAGACTAGAGGGACAGACTATCGAGAGACCAGAGAGAGACCAAAGAGACCAGAGAGAGACCAAAGAGAAACCAGAGAGAAACCAGAAAGAGACCAGACAGAGGCCAAAGAGAGACCAGAGAGAGACCAAAGAGAGAGACCAGAGAGAGACCAAAGAGAGAGACCAGAGTTGTGCTGATAAAAAAATGTGACCAGTTTGTATTTCCTGGGTCAATCCACACAAAACACAGAAATTAACTCAAATATGACTTTTAACAATTTGAGCTAACGTGATTGCTGAAAACCAGCGGCTAATCAAGATAACAACTCGTCATCGGGGAAGACACTTTCTTCAAAACTGTTTGCATCCGGCTCAACAGGAGTAAAAGGGGTCGATGGGAGAGCAAGGGGGAACAAGAACGGTTTATCTAAAATTACCCCATTATGCATTGACTTCTCAGCCATTATAAAAATGTGAGTTTAAATTAGAAACACGAAACCAATCTGTAGTTGTCAAAAGCAATTCAAACGCCTGAATGACACACAACGTGAGAGGATTTAAAAGGTTGCTATTAATAAATGTCAAGGGCAGGCTTCATAATGACATGTTAACAAGCCGGGGTGACCTTTGTGCTTCTGTTGGAGTAATTACCAGCGCAGAGAAGACTTGTACACGCTCCTTAAGCCTCACGCCCCACTGGAGCGACTCGAACACACACACGTCACACACAACACGACTCAAAACCCCGACACACACACCACGTCACACACAACACGACTCAAAACTCAGTCCTGAGTCTACAAGTCTCAGTCCTGGGTCTACAAGTCTCAGTCCTGGGTCTACAAGTCTCAGTCCTGGGTCTACAAGTCTCAGTCCTGGGTCTACAGACTCAGTCCCAGTCCTGGATCTACAGCCTCAGTCCCAGTCCTGGATCTACAGCCTCAGTCCTGGATCTACAGTCTCAGTCCTGGGTCTACAGCCTCAGTCCTGGGTCTACAGCCTCAGTCCCAGTCCTGGATCTACAGCCTCAGTCCTGGGTCTACAGCCTCAGTCCTGGGTCTACAGCCTCAGTCCTGGGTCTACAGCCTCAGTCCTGGGTCTACAGCCTCAGTCCTGGATCTACAGCCTCAGTCCTGGATCTACAGCCTCAGTCCTGGATCTACAGCCTCAGTCCTGGATCTACAGCCTCAGTCCTGGATCTACAGCCTCAGTCCTGGGTCTACAGCCTCAGTCCTGGATCTACAGCCTCAGTCCTGGGTCTACAGCCTGGTTAGCCTGTAGTGGTTGTAATTAAACTTGACAAAAGGCAGTTCTGAGCTCTAACATGAGAGAGAGTGTAAGTTGTTTGATGAGTGTGTTTTGGAGAATGTAGAAAAACAAATACACAGATCCTGGCAACACTTTAAGGCAAACTGAAAATCAATGGGGCTTAAATACAGTTTTATCTTTAGGTCCTGAAGGGAGACAAAAAACTCATTTTCCGGAGCGGATATAACATAACATAACATAACATAAATAATACCAGCGCTAATTACAACTATTCAAACGAAACCAGAGACAGATTATAGAGACCAGAGGGAGACAGACCAGCGAGACCAGAGGGAGACAGACCAGAGGGAGACAGACCAGAGGGAGACAGACCAGAGGGAGACAGACCAGAGGGAGACAGACCAGAGGGAGACAGACCAGAGGGAGACAGACCAGAGGGAGACAGACCAGAGGGAGACAGACCAGCGAGACCAGAGAGACAGACCAGTGAGAAACCAAAGTTGATATGTGCTGACAAAGTAGATTGACAGTTTGTGTGGATTGGCCCATTACAGACAAAGTAGCTATAATCGGATTTTGTCAATTACCATAGTTACCAGGAACAATTTGAGTGCTGCTAGCAAACGCGATTGCTAAAAAACCCTCGGCTAATCAAGATAACAACTTGTCATAGAGGGAAAAAAACATTAAGGGGCTAAAATACAGTTTTATCTTTACGTGACAGGTCCTGGAGGAGACAAAAGACGCCTTTTCCGGAGCGGGTATGACATAACATAAATAATTACAGCGCTCCTGCTTTGCTAATTACGACTATTCAAACTTTTGATTCCATTTTAATTATCGTCTTATCCCTGCAGCCAAAACGAGAAGCGCGCTCGCCAAGATTCCACCCATATTCCTCGTTCAAAAGAGACATCACAGTCTCCATCGCACACAGAGAGCGCACAGCTGGCAGACTGTACGGCGGACCCCCTGCCGAGAACCAGCCCAGCGAACCCTCACACCGAAGCCTTCTCCCGCCCGCCCTCCAGGGGAACCTGTCAGAGCGCGGTCTCCCAGAGGTGCGAGTGTGGGGGAGGACCGAGATACGAGGCGGCGGTGAAGGTTAATGGCACGAGAGAGCTGGAACCGGTGGGAGGTAAGACATGACAGAGAGAGGACTTCAAAAGAGCCACATGGGGTTCTGGCAACAGGAGGCGGCTGAGGACTACACAAGGATGACAGCTTTTGTACAGTACACGGTAAGCTAGCACTGCAGCGGATCTGAAATGGAAGACCCAGGGCTGGGCGGAGAGAAGAAATGTATGGTCTGTGTAATCAATGTTTCAAAGAGGTGTTTTAAGAATGTCATCATATAGACACTTGTATGAGAAAATAATGAGAAGATAGTTAATAGAGAGACCAGAGAGAGGCCAGAAAGAGAGAGAGGGAGACAAGGGATCAGAGAGAGAGGCCAGAGAGAGAGAGACAAGAGAGAGGCCAGAGAGAGAGAGACCAGAGAGAGGCCAGAGAGAGAGAGACCAGAGAGAGAGAGACCAGAGAGAGGCCAGAGAGAGAGAGACCAGAGAGAGAGAGAGAGAGAGAGAGAGGGAGACAAAGGATCAGAGAGGGAGACTAGGGAGAGAGACCAAGGAGGGAGATCAGAGAGAGAGGCCAGAGAGAGACCAGAGAGAGAGAGGCCAGAGAGAGAGAGGCCAGAGAGAGAGACCAGAGAGACCAGAGAGAGAGGCCAGAGAGAGAGAGACCAGAGAGAGAGAGACCAGAGAGAGAGAGGCCAGAGAGAGAGAGACCAGAGAGAGACCAGAGAGAGAGGCCAGAGAGAGAGAGACCAGAGAGAGAGAGACCAGAGAGAGAGGCCAGAGAGAGAGAGACCAGAGAGAGACCAGAGAGAGGCCAGAGAGAGACCAGAGAAAGAGAGACCAGAGAGAGAGAGACCAGAGAGAGACCAGAGAGAGACCAGAGAGAGAGAGACCAGAGAGAGAGAGGCCAGAGAGAGAGACCAGAGAGAGAGAGACCAGAGAGAGAGACCAGAGAGAGAGACCAGAGAGAGAGACCAGAGAGAGAGAGGCCAGAGAGAGAGAGGCCAGAGAGAGAGAGGCCAGAGAGAGAGAGGCCAGAGAGAGAGAGGCCAGAGAGAGAGAGAGAGAGAGAGAGAGAGACCAGAGAGACCAGAGAGAGACCAGAGAGAGAGACCAGAGAGAGAGGCCAGAACAAGAGGCCAGAGAGAGTGACCAGACTGAGAGACTGACAAATGTGACATTAACTTTTCAGCGATTATAAAAATGGGACTTTTAAATCAGAAACACTATCAATTACTACCACTACCACTCCTCTCATCCATTCAAAGTCAAACCCACTGAGCCTGACAGACAGCCCCTCGCATCAGC